AATTTCTGGAAACTGCTAATTGGATTTGAGGCTTGGTCAGATTCACCTCAGGTGTTTTTGTTTTCTTTCAAGTGTGTTTCATAGATGATACTGTAAATCTCATTATCAAATTAAGCTATGAGGCACACACTGTCTTGTTGTCTTTTTCTGATATTAAGATTAGCTGGTGCTGGGTGATGGTGGTGAACACCTTTAATCCCAGCACTTGGGAGATAGAGGCAGGCGGATCTCTATGAGTTTGAGGCCAGCCTGGTCTACAGAGGGAGTTCTAGGACAGCCAGGGCTACACAGAGAAACCCTGTTTTAGGGGGGAAAAGATTAACCAGTAAAATCAGTCTCAGAAAGCTCCACTCCAGCTGTATTCATTGTCCATTAGTATGGGCTTTGTGTACTTTATTAGGGTACTTTAAATATACATAATTTTTTAGATTATGAAAGTGGCACACACTCTTTGATGATATAGAATGGTATAATGAGAAAAAATTCTCAAACACCGCCTCACCATTCCATTTTATGTTTAATATTTTGGCATATTTTCTTTTGTGTTCTTTTTTAAAGATTCATTATGTATGTATTTATTATTTATTATTATGTCTGTGTACAGTGTTCTGCCTACATATATGTCTGCATGCCAGAAGAGGATACCATATCTCATTACAAATGGTTGTGAGCCACCATGTGGTTGCTGGGAATTAAACTCAAGACCTCTGGAAGAGCAGCCATCTCTCCAGCCCTCCTCCTTTTATATACTTGAATGATTTAATCCTGTTTTTGAACATTGGCTTGTTTAGTTTTCATTATAATAAATAGCGCTTTGGGAAAACATCTCGGTCCATACGGTCTGCTCTAAGTTGAGATTGTCTCAGAATAGATTCCTAAGGTATAATTCACTGGTCAGAAGATAAATATTACTTTAAAATTCTAACCAGGTATGGTGGTCTAAGCATGTAACCTCAGCTACTCAGAAAGCTTGAGGGATCAAGATCCAAAGTTCAAGGCCTGCCTGGACTACAGAGTTAAATTCAAGGTCAGTCTGCCTGAGCAACTTGGTGAGAGTTTGTCTAGAAATTAAAAGTGCAGTTCAGTGGAGGAGCACTTGCCTAGCATGCATAAAACCCCAAGTTCATTTCTACTATTGTAAAAACAAAAAAGTTATTTTAAAGTTTTACATATGAAAGACCCCCAGACCCCTAAGGGCCTCAGGATCCCGAGGAGCCCCTGAGACTCAGAAACCAGACCAAGAGCTGCAAAAGCAAGAGGGTTTATTGAACGAATGAGCATTCGGGTGTCAGCAATATCGGGAAAGCTGCACACCCCAGCATGGGGTGCAAGCTCCTTTTTATAGGAAAAAAACCGCAGATCAGCATACAGGCAAGGGGCACAAAATGATTGATTACAAAGTATGATCTCATGTTAGAGTGGTCACCCAGGTGTGGCCTGCTTTTCTACAAAGGAAAAACCACAGCACGTACCCTGAAAAGTCCTTGATTGTCTGTTGGCCAGCCAGGTGTGACCCAAAGAGGGTTGTGTTGGCGATCGCCCCCGTCTAAACCATAGGATGTGCCCGGGGCTGGGGCCAGCTTCCTGGTAATGGGCCAAGGCCTGTGGGAACCTTTTTCTCTCTGTGAACTAAAATCTTTCAAAACTTTTTCTCTCAGCAAACTAAAGTCTTTCACATATAACATGTGGTGATTTGAATAGGTATGTCCCCATAAACTCATGTGTTTGAATGCTTGGCCCATAGGGAGTGGCACTATTAGGAGGTGTGGCCTTGTTGGTGTATCACCTTGTGGTGGCAGGTTTTGAAACTACACCCAGTACACAGTTCACTTCCTGTTGCCTACCTCTTCAGTACCATGTCTGCCTGCACACTGCCCTGTTTCTCTCCACTACAATAATGGATTAAGCTGGAAACTGTAAGCCATCCTCAATGAAATGTCTTTCTTTAGAAGAGTTGCCATGGTCATGGTGTCTCTTCACAGCAATGAAAACCCTAACTAAAACTTAGTGTCAGCCGGGCGGTGGTGGCGCACGCCTTTAGTCCCAGCACTCGGGAGGCAGAGGCAGGTGGATCTCTGTAAGTTTGAGCCCAGCCTGGTCTACAAGAGCTAGTTCCAGGACAGCCTCCAAAGCCACAGAGAAACCCTGTCTCGAAAAACCAAACCAAACAAAAACAAAACAAAACCAAAAAAACCTTAGTGTCAGTGTTGACGGCTCAGTGGGTAAATGTGCTGCTGTGAACCCTAAGGATCTAAGTTCAATCCCCAGAATCCATATGGTAGAACAGAACCAACTCCCACAAAGCACTTGTCCTTTAACCTTCATTTGAATGCTACAAATGTACCCACACGTTTGACTGTGCACATACATATGTACACACACAAATAAATGGATCAATATAATAAAAAAGACAGGTAACAAAACACTATGGCAATTTGCTTAAACAAAAATTTAAGCTGTCAAAGAAATGATTGAGGGTTGGGTGTGAAGTCAAAAGAAATGGTTGAGGACTAGGCCTGGGGCCCAGCACACCCTTAATCCCAGCACTTGAAGGCAGAGGCAGGCAGACCTCAGCCTGTTTTATATACCAAAAATAAAACAAAACAACAAAAAACATCAATTGAGTTATAAATATAAGGACTAGTAAGAATTAGATCAGTTACTTTTTCTGCAACTTCTAAGTTATTCAGTGCATGATAGATTGAGGAATCAAAAAAATCTAATATTTCTGGACTTTCATATCTACATAAATGTAATGTTTGTTTTCAAGGTATAAACTTTTCTTTAGGGTGGTGGTATTGCAAGAATATTTTTGATTTTATGAGGAAAGATACTGAGCAAACTAGGCACAAGGCAAACTAGTTTTATATATATATACACACACACACATACACTCACACACTCACACACATATATATACACACACATGCACACATACACACACACACACACACACACACACAATAATAATAATAATAATAATAATAATACTGTATTATTATTTCCTCTTAAGAAGGAAACTAAGAATGTTGCATAGTGTTAGAGTATTTGTCTCGCAATCATGAGATTCTAAGTTCAATACCCAGTATCACAATGAAATAAACAATAGGCAAGCTTATTTCTAAACTTAAAAATTACTAGCAGGGACAAGGGGTCTTTAGCATTGCAATCCTGGCTTTGGAGTCTATCATAAATCATGTTCCAGAGGAGGAACTTATAAGCTTGAGACCTCTAAGCTTTTAAATGTGCCATTGTTAAAATGGACCCAATGATGTCTGGGGTTTTTGGGGGTGGGTGGGGAGAGGAATTATAAGGACTTATATTTTTGAGTTAGAAGTTATCAATACAATAAAATTATTGAAGCTAGCACCTGAGAGAATAAGAGTTTATTAAGTGAAAATCTTGTGATGAGAAAAATAATTTTGACTGAAGCCCAAGGTGAGAGAAGGCAGCCTTTACACAAATCTCTGATTAAATTAGTTGCATGATTAATCAGCCTAGAGACCCTCCTCTGAGTAATTCAGAAGACCTTTATATGTTTTACCATGTTGTATGTACTTTGGGATTTATTCAATTCAATTTTATATATGAGTAGTATGGGTGCATATTTGAATGGGGGCAGGGGAAGCATGATCATCCTACCACATATGTGGAGACCAGAGGGACAACTAGTGGGAATCAGTTCTCTCCTTCCACAGTGTGGGTCCTATTCTGGGACTTCAACTCTGGTATCAGGGTTTGAGGGCAGTATCATCCTAGCACTGAGGAGGCAGAGACAGGAAGGTCAGGAATACAAGGTGAAACCAACAGCTTACATAACAAGACCCTGTGTTGAAATAAATAAGAAGCAGCCGGGCGTTGGTGGTGCACGCCTTTAATCCCAGCACTCGGGAGGCAGAGGCAGGCGGATCTCTGTGAGTTTGAGACCAGCCTGGTCTCCAGAGCGAGTGCCAGGATAGGCTCCAAAGCTACACAGAGAAACCCTGTCTCGAAAAATAAAAGAAAAGAAATAAAGAAGAAGGAAAAAGAAACACATACCTTCATACACATGAAGACAACAGAAATGTGAGCACAGCTCACCTGGGGGAGAGAGGTGGTTCTTTCTCTGTGTAGCCCTGACTGTTCTGGAACTTGCTGTATAGATGTTTTTACATGGGTGCTAGGGATCACACTCAGGTCCTTATGCTTGTGTGGCAAGTCCTTAATTGTAACCTAATTGAAGTTTATTCAATTGATGGTGTAACCCAGATTATACAAGCTGAAAATTCAAGTGATTCACAGGCTAGGTTATTTCTAAGTTTTCTAAACTCTCTGTGATGTGTTAAGTGCAAAGAAGGCATGTTTTGAAGAGAAATGTTTAGTATTTTTATGGCAAAGACTAGCAAACACTTGATTAAATAACCTGCAAGGTCATTAAGAGGAACTATGATTTTATAAGCAGATATCTTTTGATGTGATAACAAACATTTACATCACCTGTACTCAACCCATATACCTAGTAGAAGTCAAAGGTCCTAGTGTAGTGGAAGAGACCGGCTGTGCTCCCTGTTGTAACCTTCCTCACTTACTAATGGAATGCAGGGGAATTTGTAAGGATTGGGGTTTGTGCCCATTGGTATTCACTTGTAGCTGTCACTACTGCATTTCATAGAGTACCTACTGGAATATGTTTCATATTAGACAGAATTTTGGTGGGGGAATGTATATGTCCCTTCCTTGATTGCTAAGGTATAGGTTATACACAGAAACCTTCCTTGGCCTGAACTGGATTTTTAGATCTCATGGTTTGGCTGGCAGTTTTGGTCACAAGTGTTGTTTTCAATATTAGAAAGGTTGTGGTTTTCTAGTCAGGGGACTTCTTCCCCACACAACAGAACAGTTTTAAACTGCTTCTTCATATGAATGTTGTTTCTTTTATACCCTCAATCTACTGCCTACTAATTTTTTCTTTTTCTTTCCTTTTTTTTTTTTTTTTTTTTTTTTTTTTATAAATGGGAAAGTATTGACTCGGAGACAAAGAGAAGCCAGGAACAAGCGTGATGGTAGGACACAGACTACCCTGGACAACAAGTAAGTAGGCACAATGCATTCATCAAGTTTTTGTCTAACACACCATTACTTGGACAGAGTGAAGAGACCAGTTCCTATTACCATGTGTTTCTTTGGTTGTCTGTCCTTCCTTTATTGTTTGGAAGCCTGTATTTCTCTTATTAACAGTTTATTTCAGTGCCCCTCCCATCTATTCCTTTTCAATACATTAAAAAAGATCCTGCTTCTGAACTGCTCTTGGGTTTCTGTTTCCTTTGAGTTTATATATTGGTGTTTAGTGCTTTGGGGAAGCAGTGAACATTTTGCAATGTTATATAGAAATTGAGTTGCAAGAGGTTGAGCAATATAGAAGACTTCCTTGGGGTGTGGGTTGTAGCTTGACTAAGAGAGCACATTTTGAGGAAGGGGTCAGGTATAGAGGCTGCCTCCTGAAAGCAAATCCATTTCTAACAGTATGTAGAATCGTGAGATGTTTGGCAGAAACTTTTGTTTTCAGGGTTGGTTTTTTTCATTAAAATATATACATACTTTCCCCTCTCCCTTTCCACTTTCCAGCTGCCTGTGTCCCCCTTTTCTACCTTTTAAATTCATGTCCTCTCTTCTTTGATTGTTATTGTTATGCTTGTGCATAGACACAGACACACATAAATACAACCTGCTGAGTACGTTTAGTGTTGTTTGTATGTATATGGTTTCTAGGCTGACCACTGGTGTTAGATAACCAATTAGGGGCTCATCCCTAGGAGAGACTAATTCTCCATCTCTAAGTAGTTGTTAGTTGACTGATTCCCCCTTCTACTTTACCATGTCTGTTGGTGGTGTCATATGTTGTTGAGATATCATAGATGTAGCTTTTAGGAAACACAGTCTCACAGTAGACTTCTTTCCTCTGGCCCAGTGGTGGTGGCTGAGGTGCACACCTTTAACACCAGCTCTCGGGAGGCAGACACAGGCGGATCTCTGTGAGTTCAAGGCCAACCTGGTCTACAGAGTAAGTTCCAAGACAGCCAGGGCTACACAGAGAAACCCTGTCTTGTAAAACCGGTATATATATGAGAATTCTATCTGCATGTATGCATTTATGCCAGAAGAGGGCATCATATCCCACTAGAGATGGTTGTGAGCCGTCATGTGGTTGCTGGGGTTTGAACTCAGGACCTCTGGAAGAGCAGTCAGTTCTCTTAACTGCTGATCCGTCTCTCCATCCTTTCTCTGGCTCTTAAAATCTTTCTGTCCTGTCTTCCATGATGTTCCCTGAGCCTTAGGTTCAGGAATTATATTTAGGGCTGGGCTTCCCACAGTCATTCATTCTCTGTGTTGTGACATTATGATTTTCTATAATGATCTCCATTTTAAAAACTAATGTATGAAAATTTCATTAAGCTTGTACAAGTTAATGGAGTCTCATATAATGTTTGAGTCATGTGTACATTGTGTAATACTTAAAATCAGGTTAAACATCTATTCATTCATCATTTCTTTGTGGTAAAAACATTAAAAACTCTGTCTTCTAGCTTGTTAAAATGTAACCACCCCACTATATAATAGTAAATCAGAACTCCCTATTGCTATCTAGCTGTATCTTAGTACAACTAACAAATTCTTCCTTCTCTGGGATCTTGCTTTAATAGACCTCTTGGACTATATCCTCATATTGCTTAAGTTTGTTTACAATCTCACTGTTCTTGGACAAGACACTATTCAGGTGCAGACACTCGTTTTCATTTTTGTTTATATTCAGCATCTAATAAGATGTATCTGAGATAGCACTTAAAGTATTAGTTGTTTAATGAGCACCTGATATCATATGCCTGTCATCATTGTAGATACTTCATTAACTGTATAATAAACAGTGGGTGGCATAGACTTCTTTCTCTTCCTCCCCCCCTCCCCTGCCCCTTCAAGTACTAGGAATTAAATACAGGACCTTGCATGAGCTAAGCAAGCAGCTGCTGAACTATGCCCTCAGCGAATTTTCCTTCCTTCCTTCCTTCCTTCCTTCCTTCCTTCCTTCCTTCCTTCCTTCCTTCCCCCCCTCCCTCCTTCTCTCTCTCTCTCTCTCTCTCTCTCTCTCTCTCTCTCTCTCTCTCTCTCTTTCTTTCTTTCTTTCTTTCTTTCTTTCTTTCTTTTTCTCCCAAATAAAAGTAAATTATTTGTAACTAAGTCATATGGCCAACAGTAACAGATTCAAAGTCTGCTTGATTTTAAATGTCCAGGTCTTCCCTATAGTGCTGCTGTGTCTCATACATTAGTTTAGTCGAAAGGAACTGGGGTTTTAGACCATGAATTCTAAATCATGACTAGGTTCAACCACACTTTATTAATCAAAATAGAAACCTTTATAGTCAGTGCATTTTTGCCATTGGAAAAAAGTTTGTTTCTTCCTGTAGTGTACAAATTTATGCTTCAGGATTTGAGGAACTCTTGGAAAGTATCTTTCTTCCTCTCCCACCTCCCAAATTGTGTGTGGAGATCAGCGGACAAGGTGTAGGAGCTGATTTCCTTTTTTTTCATGTGGGTCCCAGGGATTGAACCCAGATTATCAGGTTTAGTGACAAGTATTTTCTTTTCCCCCCCAGAGGGTTTTTTTTTTTTTTTTTTTTAAATTAGGGAAAGGGATAAAAAAAAGAGGAAAGGGGGGGGGGGAGTCCAGCCTCCAGGTATAGAAGCAGCAGGAGAGAGGAAAGAGGTGGCGGGGAGAGGGAAGTGCCTTTTATCCACAGAGCTAGCTTGCTAACCCCCATAGAAAGCATTTTCTGCAAACTTCTGATGATAGAGTATTTTCCTTCAAAAAGTTGTCAAGATGCTTGAAAAAGTGGTAGTTGATTGGAAGGCCAGATAAATAAAACAGAATTTTGAAGGGTTGGTTGTGCCTTACGCGGTCTGATGTCCTAAAGGTGAATTTGGGCTCTTTCTGTTGGCCAGTGCTGATGGCAGGCCCCATAGTTCTCAGTGCCGCATCTCATTAATTTGCTGATCACAAGTCTGAGACATATTGTTTCCCTAGGTTTAGACACTGCAGTGGGTCAGACCAACGGCAGACCACTGACTAGTTACCCCTGACCTTGTTTTGGTACAAGTTTGGCTGTGGGAAGTGCTTTAGAACTTCTCCTTCCAGCCACCGAACTGGTGGGTCATCACTAGTTGTCATGCACAATTCACTTTTTGTTACATGTTACAATCTTAATAAGAAATGGTTTGTTGTTCTGTAGAATAAGAGGGATTATAGTTCAAAACAATTTAAATTTTCTTTTTTTTTCCCTCCAGTTCAATCATGAGACACCCACTTATCAAACCTTTTCACCTTTCCAGTTTTTTGCCTCAAATGCTTGAACAGCATGCATGGTTCACATTGAGCTCTTTGGCAACTTGTTGAGTCGAGTAAGAGAGTTAGCTTCAGTGAGTGTTCCTTGTCAACTTCCTGTGGCTGACCACTAAGCTTCTTAGCTTCAAGGCTCTAGAATCACCACTGTACTGTATGTTCCTGGGCCGAAAACCTGTTGATGTTGCAAATTGCCTCAGCTGTTTTACCACCTATTTTGCCAAATACGAAGACTGCTTCAATTTTTATTTTACCCAATTTCCATATTATAAAATAAATATAACAAGTAATATGCCATTACCAAAAAGCAGTAAAGTGAGAAATGCACATTAAAATGATGTACGTCATAATTGTGTTTATTTAAGAGTATATGTCATTATCAAATGACAAATTTCAACAGTGCAGACAACAAAATTACTTTTGTATTAATCTAATCGTAAGAATTAATAGTGCTTTTTGCAATAATTGACAACCTTTGAAGATCTACTGTTTCCCTAGATTAACTTTTCTCATAAGGTAGAGTTTTACTTGCATTCTTCCAGGTAAGTGAATAGTTTGAGATGTTATTTCTGTTATTTTATTGTCCTTCAGAGAAAATCTTCTATAGAGCAAATCTTTTGCCATAGTTACTGAACAGTAATGGTCAGAAGAGGAAGTTTAAGATGAACTTATGAATCAGCTATGAGTATTTATTAGCTGTAACAATCTTGAGAGCTGAAGAATTCATTGAGAAATTATGTTGAAAGGTACTGACCACCGAGAAAATAGTTAATAAGTATTTTTCACCAACTCCCACAGTTCTGTCTTCATTGATACATCAAGAACACTCTTTCCTTTCTCTAAACAACTTGTTATAAAAAAGATAACAGTAACTATGTTATTGTGCAAAAACTTCTGGCAGAGCCACATGTTTTAGTAACTTCCTACTTGATGCATCAGGTTATAGTGTTAAGGAAGTTAGCATATAGACAGACTTGATTTACTAACCAAACAAATCCATCTACTATGGTAAAACTCTCACTATTGATTTAATGCTTTTAGTACTCCCTTTTCTGTCGAAATTTTAACTTCTCTTTGAAGAAACGATTAACTTAATTTCAGAAGAGTTTGACAGACTGTTTCATATCAGAGGAGCAGTCAGCATTGTTTGAGATAGGTAGAAGAGCTGATTTCATTACCATCCCACTGCTGCAGCAGCAGGGTACAGAGACACAGCCAGGGAAAACTGCTAATCACTTAGTCCCTGTGATTGGCAGAGGGTTAATTTTATTGGTGATCCCACTGAGTGAATCTGCATTGGCTGACAAGTCTCCTCTGCAGACATTTTTGAGATGTAAAAAGACAATATGAAACATTCCTAGAGCTCAGAGGCAAAAGCAGATCTTAAAACTGCCTTCCCTCCCACCCCACTCCTCTTCTAATTACCCAGGAAGGAGAAGTGTTACCTATGTAAGTCCCTGGTCCCACTTGGAGAGTATCAGTGTCATGTAGAGGCCTGTCTCCAGCTCGCAAGGCGCGACAGAGGGGCTGGGACTGAAGGGAGTAAGAGGACAAGAGTGTGCGCAACTGTGGAGGGGAAGCAGCAGCAACGGCTGAGGAAGCCAAAGGTACGCGCCTGAGGAAAAGCTCCATCCGTCTGTCCGTTCTCCCTGTCTGTCTTTTCCTGTTTATCTTCATACAAGATTTGTGCTTGTGAGGGTGAGGGTGTGTGTGTGTGTGTGTGTGTGTGTGTGTGTGTGTGTGTGACACACATTTATATATGGAGGCCAGAGGTCAGACTTGGGTGTTATTCCTCAGGAATCATCCACCTATTTTGAGACAGGATCTCTCACTGGACGTGAGATTTACAGATTAAGGATGCTGGCTCAAACTCATCCACTCAGACTCAAGACTATGGCAGTTTTAATTGCTGTGCTTTTTACAGTACATGTAAAGTTTCTACTCTGATAAAAACATAATGGTTTAATTATGGAAAGCATAACCTTTAATATTGTTTTACCATGGAAGTACCTGTGTTTATGCCAGGTGCCCAACTTATCCTTTGAATCAAGGTCTCTCATTGAACCTGGTGTTTATTGATTAGGTAGACTTGCTAGCCAGTTAGCTCCAGGAATCTGCCTTTATCTACCCCAACCCTCATGCTAGGGCTGTAGCTGCTTGGGACCAGCTTTTTAAATTTGTGTTGGGACCCAAGCTCAGGTCCCCATTTTTCATAGCAGTCACTTTTATGACAACATCCTATTCCCAAATTACTGTATCTTTTTTTTGTTTGTTTGTTTTTTTGTTTTTTGCGACAGGGTTTCTCTGTGGCTTTGCAGGCTGTCCTGGAACTAGCTCTTGTAGACCAGGCTAGTCTCGAACTCACAGAGATCCACCTGCCTCTGCCTCCCGAGTGCTGAGATTAAAGCCATGCGCCACCAACGCCCGGCAAATTACTGTATCTTTGGTTGTATTTTGTGAGAATGTTTGATTTTAAAAATTGCTATTTGAGTTGCTAATGTGGGTTGCCTAAAAAATTTGTAATGCAGTTTGGCTTGGGATTAAGACAGATTTCCATCAGTTTCTGAAATGGCCTTAAGCATATACCTGTCAGTTTGTGGTGTGTGTTTATGTGAAGCAGGGTTCTTAGCACTGGTGATAATGAAAATCAAAATATCAGTCAACTCTGAGGAGCACTGAAGATGCTCTGTATTTTGCAATGTTAAATATTCAGCCAGGAATTCTTTCTTTCTTTTCATTAACCATGGAGTTTATTAAAAGGGGGGGAGCAAAAGGGGGGTTGAAGAGAGAGACGAAGGGAGAGCGAGAGGAGAGAAGAGTGAGAGAGGACGAAATAACAAGAGGAAGGGCAGGAATAATTCTTATGTAAAAATAAACCAGTATGGACTGGAGGGTGTGACTGATTCAAATAAAGGATTACTAGATAGCATTAAAAAAATAAATTAATTTCCTGCCAGATGGTAGTGGCATAGGCACTTGGGAGGCAAAGGCAGACAGATCTCTGTGAATTCCAGGCCAGCCTGGTCTACAGAGTAAATTCCAGGACAGCCAAAGCCACACAGAGAAACCCTGTCTTAAACCACCCCCCCCAAAACAAACAAACAAAAAATCCTCAAATTTAACATAGGGCAGAAGCTGTTCCTTTTTTTAGTCTTGACTTTTATTGATTTTAGTTATGTATATGTGTGTATGTGTCTGTGTGAGGGTATGTACATGAATCCATTTCCCCTAGGGTGCCAGAGGCCAGAGGCCTAGGAGTCCTTGGAACTGGAACTACAGGTAGTTGTGAGCCACCAAGTGAGTTCTGGGAATTGACCTCCAGGCCTCTGAAAGAGCAGCATGTTCTTAATCCCTGAGCCACCCCTCCAGCCCAAAGGCTCTTCTTTAATGTAATTTGTGGATTTGACTTGATGCTGAAGCAATCCTTGAGTCTTTCTCTCTCTCTTTCCTTCCCTCCCAACCCCTCTCTCCCTTCTTTCTTTTCTTTTTTATAGGGTCTCTCTGTGTAGTCTTGACTGGCTTTAAACTTGCTATGTATGCCAGGTTGCCCTTGAACTTGGAGAGATCTGCCTGCCTCTGCATCCTGAGTCCAGGGGTTAACGGTGTGCACCACCCCTGGAAAGCTGTGCTCCTGATACAGTGTTTTAACCCCTTTATTACAGTTGCTGTTCTTCTAATTTGTTCTCATTTATTACAAAGCAAAGACAAATCTAGTACCAGCTGTGCCACCACATTTTTCTTCTGGTAAAGATTTGATCTGGGCTAACTTGTAGTCAGGCTTTTCTTTGGGCCACTAGCTCACAAAAAAATGACACGGAAAGTTGTATTAATTATGAAAGCTTAGCCTTAGTTTAGGCTTGTTTCTTACTAGCTCTTATTGCTTAAATCAACCCATTTCTATTAATATACTTTTTGACTCATGGCCTTATTACTTCCAGACTGCCCATCCTGCTTGCTCTGCATCTCCTGCCTTCTTTTTTTCCCAGTGTTCTCTCTGCCAGGAAATCTTGCCTAGCTATTGGCCATTCAGCTTTTTATTAAACCAATCAGAGGCACACTTCTTCACAGGGGTTAATGGTATGCACCACCCCTGGAAAGCTGTGCTCCTGTACAAAAAGATGATTCCACAACACTAAGTAAATCGTGTTTTAAGTCTTGATGTGAAGTAATGCTTCTCTTACTTTTCTCTGTCACAGGAAAAAGGCCAAGGTCGAGGTCGACTGCTCAGTCTCCTGGAACAGTCTGAGCACAAGAGCACAGGTGAAGACCTGAGACCAATGTTCTGGGTTTCTGTGCAGGCCTTCCAGTGAAGACAGCAAGTCGAAGCCTTCCCCTGAATGTTGGGGATTATAAGTGAAGTTTCTTTGAGCCAATCAGCCAGCCTTTGAAATTCAACCTAGGCTGTCTCTTCCCAAGGAAGGATGAAAAGATACCTTGTCTTACCTATCATAGGTTTACTGTAATGCATTATAAAGCCTAGAGTCTGGACTGCTTGTTAAACTGGGGAGTGCTTGTTCCAGATTGCAAAACATGCTGCCAGAAAATAGATCTCCTACAGGAACAGTTATGGAAGACCACACATGCAGACATTACTGCCTCTTCTGAATGTTTGTAAATCATTCATATGTTACCTTTCTTTAGCTTAGTGTCCCAACTTACACTCCTAAGAAATTGCAGGAAGTAATCCCTCTTTGTGTGGGTAGTATTTAGGGAGACTTTAGAGTAGGTTCATCAGGAGCATTAGTAATACTGACTTCAGAGATTGCATTGATTATCTAGTGAAGCACTAACGGTGTTCCCTGGCATTAGTAGGCTTTTGATGAGTGGTAGTTGCTATTGCTGCTATTGTTCCTATTAGTTGCTATTGTTAAAATTTACCAAATGCAAATTGAAGAGTAACTTTTTGCTTACTGTCTAGTTACAATAGTTTATTACCACCAAGCAAATCTGTTTTGCTTTGTGATGACTGTAAAAAGAGCCTGTCTCACATCCTCCTCCTAGAGGTCCAGGTCATGAATCTCTCGGGTGGCAGATCTCCCCTGGTAGCCCTTATTGCCTGAGTCTGGATCTGAATGATTCATTCAGAAGTGTTCACCTGCAGCTGAGCCTGCTGGATGCTAATGCTCACATTCCATTGCTCTAAGGATTGGAGATCTGAGCTACTTGAATAGGCCTGATGAAAAGCACCAGACAGTGAGAAGCTCTGACTGCTAATGTTAGTACTTTTATCTCTCCAGGTGTAGAGAAAAAAACCAAGTCTTCAGAAGCAAGAACCTTCAGGTAAGTTGGGGTATGCACTGAAGTGTGTCAGTTAGCAGCTCTGGCAAGTATAAGCCTGACGCTGGATTCTTTGTGTAGAATGATAGTTAAGATATTAAAATAGAAATCACTGTAGAACTAATGCAATTCTTTAACTTGTTGGTCCTGTTACATCTGCATTAAGAATTGGTTGGATAGCTGTATTAATGTTTAAATAAGTTACTCTTTTTTTTTTTTTTTTTAAATTCCCATCCAAACCTGAATTCTATTAGATTTGAGAATTTGGATCTGACTCTATAGTCTCTCCATGTTTCCATGGCTTTAGGTTATGTGATTTACCCAGTAGCCTCATCTGTGGAAGCAGAGTGGTACAACGTACATGGCTAGAATATTACAGGAATTATGTGTACTAATATATTTGAAGCCTCCACTGTAGTGCATGGCCCATCCTTGGTGCTTACCAGCTTTGTAAAACCAGGCATGGTTGGCCACTTCTTAATCCCAGTATGTGAGGCAGATGCAGACTGATCTTTGAGTTCATGGCTGAGTCCTTAAGAACACTGGCTGCTCAAGCCGGGCGGTGGCGCACGCCTTTAATCCCAGCACCCGGGAGGCAGAGGCAGGTGGATCTCTGTGAGTTCGAGACCAGCCTGGTCTACAAGAGCTAGTTCCAGGACGGCTTCCAAAGCCACAGAGAAACCCTGTCTCGGGGGGGGGGGGGGGCACTGGCTGCTCTTCCAGAGGACTCAGGCCCAATTCCCAGCATCTTCATGGTGTGTGTCCTCAACCATCTGTATGTAACTCCAGTCCCAGGAGAGCCAGCACCCTCATCTGTCCTTGAAGGGCACTAGGTATACATGTGGTATACAGATATACATGCAGACATCTTTACACATAAAATAAAAAATGTAAAGAGCTGGACAGACATAACACAGGCACACACACAGACACACACACAGTGTCTCACTTGAATGTTTTCTTTCTGTCTAGGATACCTTCACCAGAGGTGGAAGAGGCTAGCTGCAGTGGAGAGACGCAGAGTTCCCTCTCACAGCTCAACTTAAATGAGTCTCCCATCAAGTCTTTTGTTCCTGTTTCAGAAGCCACAAATTGCTTAGTGGATTTTAAAGACCAATTTACTTTCCGGTCACGGACCAAATCAGGCAGAGGAAGGAGGAGAAAATCTTGAATTTCTTGGGACTGGAGGATGACCAGAACCATTATTGCTGGGTTGGTCGTGTTCATTAATTATAATGGTCTCTAGTTTGTTGTGAGAGTTTTGACCCTGTTGTTGTCACCAGCAGCACCCACTCAGCATCCTGATTTTTATGTTGTATAAAATCTATTCAGACGATTGTGAATAGTATTCTGTTTTACAAGTCTGTTTGAATTTGCTTATAGTTAAAATTTAAATATATTTATCTATGTTTGTATGAAATGGAGATTTTTCTTTATGTTTCTGTTGTGAGCTTTGGGGTGGGATATCTTAATTGAGGAAGTAGTTTTTCATTCATAAGCTATATGTTCCTGAATGAATTTCATAGCTAATCTCTGACATACTACCCCATTCATTTCAACTGCACTGCACAATTCTGAACATTGTCTGAACCAGCATCATTTTGAATGCGCCAAAGGTGTTGAATCCCACTACTTTACTGTTATCTCTTCCATTTAGTGACCTATAAGTTTATCTTGCTGCACTCACCCAGTTAAGAATTATAAGCCAGGAAAATAGAAATGAAACTTGCCATTCTTCCCCTGGAATTTTGTTTTCCAGACAACGTTTCTCTGTGTAGTTCTGGCTGTCCTGGGACTAGCTCTGTAGAACTAGTCTTGAACTCACCCATATCTGTCTGCCTCTGCCTCTGAGTGCTGGGATTAAAGGTGTGTGCCACCACCACCTGGCTTCCCCTGAAAATTTTAAGTGAACCCTGTTGTATTAGTTTCTATGCAGTTTTTTTTTTTTTTTAAAGATTTTATTTGTATACAACATTCTGCTTCCATGTATATCTGCACACCAGAAGAGGGCGCCAGATCTTATAACGATGGTTGTGAACCACCATGTGGTTGCTGGGAATTGAACTCAGGACCTCTGGAAGAGCAGTCAGTGCTCTTAAACGATGAGCCATCTCTCCAGCCCCTATGCAGTTTTTTTTTTTTTTTTTTAAAGCAGATTTACCAGTGGGGGTACCAGGCACAGTTATCTGTTTAAACCAAATTTTTTCTTTTGCTGCTACAGAGACGTGGCAGCAGCAAGTTCCGTTTGGGTGGTGGTTCTAGATGGCAGCGCACATTCTAATGCAGGAGGCAGAGGCAGGAGGGTCTTTGTGAGTTGGTGTCCAACCTGGTCTACTGAGCAAGTTCCAGGATAGGCTCTAAAACAATACAGAGAAACCCTGTCTCGAGAAAAACAAAAACAAAAAAACAAAAAACAAAACAAAAAAATCCCATCACTCAGGAGGCAGAGGCAGGTGGATCTCTGTGAGTTCAAGGCCAGCCTGGCCTACAGAGCAAGTGGTAGGACAGGCTCCAAAGCTACACAGAAACCCTATCTCAAAAAAAAAAAAAAAAAAGTTAAAAAATCTGGTAATAGTGGCACACGCCTTTAATCGAAGCACTGGGAAGGCAGAGGCAAGTGGATCTCATAAATTCAAGGCCAGTCTGATCTCCATAGTTCAAGGACATCCAGAGCTGTATAGAGAAACCCTATCTCAAACAAAACAGATAAACATTGGGTCAAACAGAAGTAGACCCAAGGAGTTCTGGCAGCACTTGTCATAAGCATGACTCATAGCTGGGCCTTTCAAATTGTATTCCGTATTCTGCTTCAGTGAAACAAAGTTGAGAGACTGTAATCCCTGGCTCGACAGGATGCTGTGTTGTGGGTGATGGCCATTTGCCATTTTGCCCTCCCCAGCATCATCTTTTACCTCCCTACCTTTTACTGCCTATATGGCTGGTTGGTATTCAATAAATGTACACCAAGGCTGACGTTTACCATGTTTACAGGTCTAAAGCAAATCCTGTGGAGAAATTATGTTTTATACATGGAAAATTCAGACTTGGGGCCAGCAAGATGGCTCAGCAGGTAAAGTGCTTGCTGCATAAGCCTGATGGTCTGGGTTTAATCTATAAAGACCTCTGACCTCCCTGTGGGTGGTAGTGCACGCCTTTAATCCCAGCACTTGGGAGGCAGAGGCAGGTGGTCTGAATTCAAGGCCAGCCTGGTCTACAGAAGGAGTTCCAGGACAGCCAGGACTGGACTGTTTCACAGAGAAACCCTGTCTTGAAAAACAGAAACAAAAAATTCCTCTGACCTCCACATGCTCACCATGATGTGTGTTTTCCCCTACACACTCATGTCCTATAATACACAATAATAACAACAACAACAACAAAACCCACCCAAACTCAGAAAACTGGAAAATTTTCCTGAATCACTGGGAAAATGGGTGGAGTTTGAACCTGGATCTGTCTGGTATCAAAGTTCATACTGTCTTTGTTGTTTCTGAGGTCCCCTTGAGTCGAAACACTGATGACTGGAAATTGGAGCTCAGGATGGGCTCCTTACCTATGTGTCAAGGCAGCTTTAGCCTTGGTTGCTTTTAGCCTGTGTGAACTGTTGAGAGGAAAGGGCAAGTAGTAAACCCATGGAAAGTTGGTGGTTAACCAGTGGGAAGATGGTTTTCAATACTCTTCCTAACTTGAGTGTCCATAATAGTCCACTCAAGTTAGGAAGAGTATTGAAAACCTGTACCAGAATGGGGGGAAGAAGTTGCTTGCTTGCTGTTTCAAAAGCCCTGGACTGATGTGGGAGGTCTCTTCAGTTTAGCAAAAGATAACCGATGCTCCATATCAGACCTAGAACCTGGTCCTGAGGCTCTAAAGGTGTCTAGGAACCGTGAGAGCCCACAGCTGAGCAGGTAAGGTAAGTAGATGATTTTAATAAATACAGTAGTCTGGCCCCAAGTTGGGGTCAGAGCTGGGCCTAAGTCCATTGCTGTTGATAACTGAACTGTAATTTAAGATGGGGGGAGAATGATGAAAAGGTTAGAGGCCAGTGGTATCAGTAGGTCACTGTATACAAATGAACACGGACCGAGAGACAACAGAAACAGTGTAGTGCCTTTGAGAGAGCTGCAAGGCGCATCCAGAGCACACAGGAAATGGAAGATGGTGGGCTGGCGGCCTGCCTGTCTGGCTGTGGGCTGGAGGCTGTGAGGAGCAAACCCAAAGCAGGGAGGGCCTGGCCTTCCAGCCCAACAGTGATAATCTAGTTTTGCAATGTTTGCCTCTCCCCATTCTACAGTTGCTTCTGGTGGTTTCAGACTGCACTAAGGGCACCTTGTCAGGACTTGACTTTCCCTTGTTGGTCAGTGGCCATCTGCTGTCTGCTTGAGTATTGCTGTGCTTCTGCTACAGACAGGACTGACCCAAATGTTCACAGGCCTCAAAACCTGCGGCCTTTTTCTCCATGGGCCTTGACTTAGGAGGTCTATAGCACACCCCATGACTAGGGTCAGGACCTACTTCCTGGTGAAATGAAAACAGGACTTTCAGAATCACGGACAAGGAGTCTTGAAGACAACCTTCAGGAGCACATCCTCATGCTGACTCAAGACTGGGCTGTCACGAGCCACAGCTAGGCCTTTTACATTCAGTTCTGTATTCTCCCTCAACTAAACAAAGTTAGGGGACTGGAGCCTCCGACTCAGCAAGGTGCTGTGTTGTAGATGACGGTCAGTTGGCTTTCTCCAACATCATTCTTGGCCATGGTTCATAGCCTGTATGTCTGGTTGGTGACCAGTAAACTACCGGTAGGGCTGTGCCCGCCATGTTTGTAGGTCTGATCACAATGAAGCTGCTGCAGGAGCCGCCTCTGTTCACCTAGGTCCTGTGGAGGCCTCACTAACTGGGTAATAGTGTGACTGCTAACGCAGTAGCCTTACGTTTTAATGCGCCCACCCGTGTGCCCGTGTTGTCACAGGTGCCTACAAGCTGCTTTTGTTAGGCACTGTTTCTGACTCCTGCTTTCTCTGCATGTGAGTGTCTGTCTCTCCAACCTAGTGGTTCTCGACCTAATGCTGTGACCTTTAATACAGTTGCTTGTGTTATAACCCCCAACCATAAACTTATCTTTGTTGCTACCTCTTAACTGTAACTCTGCTACTGTTATGAATTGTAATGTGTTTTCTGATGGTCTTAGGCAACCTCTGTGAAAAGGTTGTTCAGACTGCAAAGGAGTCACAGCCCATTGCTCTAACCTCTCTCTTCTTTCAAGGCTGAAGGCACAAAGTTAAGTCATTGTCCTAAACCTTCAGTCATCTTGTATCCAGGAACAGCAAAGTCTCTCAGGACAGTGCTTCCGTCTCAATAATGATAACTGTGATACAGAAGCCACACCCCAAAGCAGAGGTTCCAGCAGAATTCAGACTGGCCTCCTTGAATGACAGAACAGCTTATCACAGTACCTTTGCAGGGTCAGAGCTGAGTGATGGAACCACACCTTGATCAAGACTGCTAAATTATGCATTTCTCTTGACTGCCCCAATTCTTTCACTGTTTGAAGACAAAGCTCTTCTAAGTACCCTGAAGAGAATCCTGGAGGTCACTGGGCCCCTTTATCTGTCCCTCTTCCAAAAGCACATGGCTTTTCATTATTACTCATTTCTTTGGCGTATTGGTATATTATGGGTGTCTGAACACACACACACACACACACACACACACACACACACACACACACACACAGAGAGACACACCCCTATGGTTACAAAGTGAAGATTGTTGCAGTGTGCATTAGTGCCCCCAAGATTGCATTTTAGGAAAACAGTTAAATGGAGTAAGAGCGTAGTGACAGTGGCTCCACAGAAGCTTAAGTACCCCATCCTCCAAAAGGGAGGACCTGCATATAAACCACTCATCCCACCTTGCCTGAAGACTAAAGGCTAGACTCCTTGGTCTGGTTGTCACCTGTGGGCATCTTCATGAAGCCCCAGGAGCTGTACCTGATTCTATGAAGACACCTGTCTGAGAGTTGTCTGCATGCATGCTCTCTTTGTGAAAGGACTTCTTCAACTCGCCCAGCTTGCTCTCCTGCAGAGTCATGATGGCCCTTCTTCCTTCCTCTTTGCTTCCTACACAGTTCTACTTGCTACAGTTTGAAAAGTTGCCTATTGTAACCACATATTTCCAGGCTGGTTTCTTCTTTCCAAGGAACTTACCACTCCAAAACCTAGTGTTTATAAAACAAATAGCTCCTAGCATTGCAGAGAGCATTGTAGTGATATTTTGTTAATGATCTAACCAATAAAGCTTGCCTGAATATCAGAATGCAAAAGATAGACACAGCCATAGAGGCAGGGAGTGGTGGTTCACGCCTTTAATCCCAGCACTAGAGAGGAATATAAGGCTGGGAGCTCATTCTCTTTTCAGTCT